TTGAAGCCCTGTGGAAGGGTCTTTTTCGAACAGCTGCAGGCGCGTCCCGAGACGCGCCAATTATTGCTTAATTTAAAAATATTTTGTCAGTTTAGTTGTTCTTGTTTTCAACAAAAAATTCCGCACAACAAAACTATATGAAATATCCCAATTCTGCTTTTCCCGACGAAAAAGTACTGTATAATGATTCATTTCAGGGATTTTGTGTAGAAGTATAAATGCCCGAAATTGTTTTTCGATCTCTTCCGTTTTTAAACTGGGTCATAGGCATTTTTTCTTATAGCAGGTAGTTTTTTTAAATTTGAAATTCCGTTTAATTCATCAGTTTAGTGGCTCAAGTTTTGAGAAACATTTTCCACAGATATGTATTGACAATGGCAACATTTCCTACTTTTTCGCGATAAATTTTGCGAATTTCATGCATTTCAAGTTCGGTTGCTATCGAGGTGTCGATTTCGAAATCCGACGACATTGTGGTGGATGACATCTTTCATGTTTTATGGATTTTCCGAATTTTTCACAGCATTCGATTCGTATTTATTCGGATTTCAGTACTGTTTATCTTAATAAGTCCGTATAAATACAGTATTTCAAGTTCGGAAAAGTCGAGCTGATTCCATGTGAGAAGAACCTGGAATTAAAAAGTTGCTTCTAAATATTGGTCTACAGAAGATTTATCGTGTAATTACTGTAATCCGTCATCAACTACGATGTACGGATGCCAACTGAAGTGCGACTGAAATGATTCAGATCTAAACACTTTTTTCATTGTTTGTGCTGAAAATGGTAAAGTTTGCTCAGCTTACGTAGAAAAAGCATTTGTACGACGTTTTCCGTGTCGTCTTTTCATCTGCGTGCTGTGTCAATTCTTGAAGGAAATGCGACGATTCCTCCGACCTTGTGCCAGTTTTGTGCCGTTTTTTCCAAATGATCAGATCTCTTTTGTCTCGTGTCTTATTGAGAATAACAATTATTTCTGTAACTTGTTTTTTCTGCAAGAAGGTCACGCAGACCCGAATTGGGTCAGGGCCATTTCAAACTACGTAACTGTTTCCAAGGCACCTGCTGTGGATTTCTTATCGAGCCAGACTCATCTGCTGTTTGATCGATACGAAGTTGGGGAAAACTGAACTTTTCCCATCAAATATATCTTCGCGGGAAGTGAATTGCTCATATTATTCTCTTCATTTTCTTTCGTGAAGAAATATACATATTTTACTTCGACCATGGTGCTCCGATACGATCGTTAAAGGCTAATTTAAATTTGTATCACGTTTTCTTCCCTGCGATCTTTTCTGCGTATCTCAAAGTATACACAAATATCCACATTATGGTCGTGCGAAGAAATCGAACGACCTTAATTTTGTCTAAATTTTAATGCGGAATATGAAAATGGAATTTTTTTTTTAATCCTGCGAAGCTGAATTTGAGCTTTTATTTGCATTTTCAAACATGATGACGGGTGTCTTATGGGTTTCAAAACGTTCATTTTAGGGGTTTGTGATGATTCCAAAGTTTTAAATCGAATGTCGTTTCCAGTAGCATTCCTCTCATTCATTCGTTTGAGAAATGCTTTCATTTGTTTGCTGGCGAAAAGCAATTTGAGATTCCTGTCGAATGTCTGGGCTCCAAAAAAAAAGAAAAAAAAAAGAAGAGGGCGGATGGGAAGGGGTTATGGTCTGTGTGGAATGTATTCCAACCACGTTAACCCCCGCGTGGCCCCCGGACCCATCAGCATTAATCACCATCTCATCCCCCGGGTCTCGGGAGAATTCTTGTCATGATCACCGGAAATGAACCGTCGTTGCCTCGTGTTCTCCGTAATTTCCTTCCGGTGACGCATGAAACCCCCGTCCATTTGCCAGGTGCGATTTTGGTCTCTTCAGGGAGTCATGACTCACGAGAAGCACGGCTCTCGAGTGTCTGGCTGAAGTTATTGTGAATGGTTGACGAACCATGATGGGATTTGCTGTAAATACTGTATGCTTTAATTAATGCAGTAAAATCTCATTACATCATACTCCTGGGGACTTTTGAAGACGTTGGTTATACTGAATGGTTTGTTCTAACGAGATTTTCAAAATGTATGACTGGAAACATTTTAACATCAGACATTCCTATAATCTATTACAAATATAGATCTCCCTGTCCTGGCATTCTGTGATATTTTGGCATTGTTTGAAAAACTGAGTGATCTTTTGAAAATAATGGTTTTAGTCATGCATTGTTTGAAAGAGAATGTTCGAATACGCACTCTGTGGGCTTTTTCTGGGACTTGAGAAAAGTGCGTTGTACTGAAAACGTTTTTTAAATGGTTTTCGTTGTAACAAGCTAGTTTACTTTTCAACTTTATCTCTGAAGGAGAGAGTACTTCGATGGCTGTTAGATGTGGAAGAGTTCAAATAACTTTGAATAATTAATTGCTTCAAACGGCCAATGAAAACGTAAGTTATGTGAGGAAAAATAATTCACAACTCGTCCATTCAAGTTCCTGTTCTAGTTTTCATTTTTATTTCCGTGGATCCGGATATACGGACGAATCGGCTTAGGGGCAATTGAAACTTTAAAAAATATTTGGTCCAACATCCGGACATAGCGTCTTGAGATATTATGGAAAATTTTCCAATATTTAAGGAAAATGTAATCAAAATTTAAAAATTGCGATGCCTCTTACACAAAGTGAGTTAATCATATTCACAAAAATTAAAAATAAACTTGATCACAAAATTAATCTGTTTCATCATCAAAAACAGGCTAATTTTGTGCCAATCTTCTAGAGTTTTTTTTT